AAAGCTCTATATTCAGCCTCAATACTAGAGCAGGATGGAATAGTCTGTTTATTACTACACCATGAAATAAGAGAGTTACCAAGAAAGAGATAGTAGCCAGTAGTGGATCTTTGGTCTGTAAAATCACCAGCCCAATTAATGTTAGAATATGCACGAAGTACAAAGGAGGAATGAATTGAGAAGTAAAGTCCAGGAAATAATGTTCCCTTAACATATTGAATAATATGAAGTACAACAACATAATGAGTGGAGCGAGGGGTAGCCATAAACTGACTAACAACATGGATTACACGTGCTATATTTGGGCTTGTCATGGTTATATAAACCAACTCCCAACTAGCCGTTGATAATAAGTAGCGTCAAGGAGTGGAGAGCCATTTAAGGGTGTGAGCTTGACATTAGATTCAAGAGGTGTGGAGACGGTTTTACTATTAGTGAGACTGACTTTAGATATGAAATTTGAAGCATATTTCACTTAGAGAGAAGATAGCCATCATCTAAGGATGTAACTTCAAGTCCCAAAAAAATAACTTAAAAAGCCAAGGTCTTTCATCTTAAATCTATGGCTAAGAGACTGCTTAAGCTCATCAATCCCCAAAACATCATCTCCAGTGATAATCATATCATTAACATATATGAGTAAAAGAATTGTCCCTTGAATAGTCTTATGGATAAATAAAGCAGTATCATGTGGACTTGATGTGAAACCAAGCTCAGTCACAATGGAATTGAATTTTATGAACCAAGCTCAATGGGAGTACTTTAAACCATATAAGGCTTGTCGCAATTGGCATACCTTATTTAATGGATAAGTAAGCCTAGGAAACAGTTTCATATAAACTTCTTTTTCCAAGTCACTATTAAGAAAAACATTCCTCACATCCATCTGAAACAACTTTTATTTTCACACAATAACAATAGCTGGGAAATTGTGTACTATGGTAAGACAAACAACATGAGCAAAGTCTTCTCATAGTCGATTCCATATTCTTGTGTAAAACCTTTGCCACTAGATGTGCCTTATAACACTCCACAGAACCATCAGAATGAGTTTTTGATCTTGTATACCCACTTGCATCCAACAAGAGTCTTATTAGTAGGAAGATCAACCAAGTCCCAAGTACCTATCTTTTCCAAAGCTTGTAATTCATCTTTCATAGCTTGATACCATAAAAGATCTAAAGAAGCTTCCTTATAAGACTGAGGTTTATGTAAATAGGTAAGTGCAGAAAAACAATGGTAATCTTAAAGATATGTAGGTGGATTTCTTACTCGAGTAGAATGAGTAGAAGAGGAAGTAACTAGTGGATTTTCAATCTCATTTGTTTCGGGTGTAATATCAATGGAAAAGACATCTTTTGAAATAGGTGCTGTGGTGGTTTGATCATTTAAATACTCATCGGGAAATCCTACATCATCACTAGAAAATAACTTAATAGATGGATTAGTGAAAATAAGAGTTTGATGAGGAGATACCTTGAATTCAAAAAGAGAAGCAAACATAGTGTGTTCTTAAAAAACAACATGACAAGAGGCACGGAGTTTTTTTTATACTAGATCCCAACAATGATAGCCTTTATGTTGTATCCCATACCCCAAAAAGTAATAAAGTCAAGCTCAAGGCTCTAACTTGTGATGTTCATGCGAAGGTAAAAGAACAAAACAAGAACAATTGGAAATTTTAAGAAGGCCATAGGCAAGAAGAATGCCATAGAGACAGTAGTATTGTATTGTCATAACTTTTGACCCTTCAAAAAACTATGCATACCTTGAGCCTAGAGTATGTAATTTGAGCCATTGAGAGTAGTTGAAATTGTTTGTGTAATATTAGATTTCTTCATAAAAAAATAAGGATATTATGTAAAAAAATCTAACTGAATAAAGGCAAAAGAGATCGATGCATAACTAGGTAGTAACACCAAGCTACTAAAAGAGAAGGGAACAATTCTGAATGGTAGAGATTTGGGTAGTGGCAATTTAAACAAAAAAACAAATGAATCACAATGGTCAAATCCTAATCACTAGAAAATAGAGGAGCAATTTTAGATCACCAAAGAAGAAAAGAACAATTTTGACAGCATGATGCTGGCTAGAACGTAGTTAGAGAAAAAGCAGGAGCCCTAAACACGACACAAGCAAGAAACCCAGAGTATGAACACAACCAGAAAAAAAGAGAGCAAAAACTAGAGCATTGTTGAAGAGCACGACCGAAAAAACAAGAGCAAGAAACCAAGTGCGCAACCAAAAATGATGTTAGTTAGGAACAATAGTATATTACAATATTGTTGGTGCAAACTAGAAGCACAAAATCAAAAAAATGAAAAGAGATAAAAGAGCTTAGTTGCTATGATTCCATGTGAGAAAACAAAGCAGGAGAGAAAAATATGAAGAAAGTGATACCTTTCTTGATTCATTTAAATATATGAAGTGCTTATCTATAGGCTTGTACAAAAGAATATTTTGTAATACAAAATCAATTAATCTAATTATGTTAATCAATTATAATTTGAATATAATCATAGTAATGAGAACATAATCAAGTGTGAATATTCTGTAACACCTCCCTTAACCTTACCCCATAGAAATTCTCTATGAATTTATTAATAGATAGAATTGTGCCTTTTGGGATCAAGTACATTGACATAAAAAAACATAGGTAGACTAGATAGCACTCAATTGATAAGAGTAATTAGTCCACCAAGAGATAAGTGATGGCCCTTCCATGTGTTTAGCTTCTTTGAGAACATATCCACCAAAGGCTTTCAAAATTCCACCCTTAAATGATTCTTGCCAATTGGAATTTCGAGATATTTGAAGGGGAACTCTCCACATTTGTAACATAGCACCCATGCCATTTTCTCAAGCCATTTACCATCTATAGATACCCCTTACATTTGACTTTCACCAAAATTGATTTTCAATCTTGACACTAATTAAAAGGTTCACATGGTTCCTTTCATTACCCACACATTTGCCTCTATTGCTTTACTAAATAGAATCATGTCATCTGCAAATTGTAAATTTGATACTTTGAAGCCCTTAGATCCCACCTCAACACCTTCCAATAATCCCTTATGCACTGCTAAAGAGATTAATGCATTTAAATATTATTAGAGCTTTTGAAGAGTTTAGATAAAACAATAACATATTTTAAATGGTAAATATGAAATGAAAAATCTTGAAATAATAAAATTATGATTCAAACTGCATATCAAGCACTTATTAAATTTAAATTTTATTGTCAATCAAATTATAAATAAGTAATTTTGGAGTACTCCAACATACAATAGCACATACTAGTAAAGAACTCAAAAGTTATTACACTATTTGAAGTCGGTTAATAATGGGTATGGTGAAGACTTTTGATCCAATATGTTCAAAAAGAATATGGCCTTACATCACTAGCAAGATTTCCAACATCAACATACAAGAATAATATTACAGGTGTTGCATAAATGATGGAGAGATACATCAAAGGAGGCAGAACCAATATCTCAATAAAAGTTTTTTCACCACATGAACACCATAAAGCTAGGGAAATAAGTGTTCAACATATCAAGTTAGAGTTGACATCTTGCAAATTATTTTAGTTGTTACCTACTAGAAATTTTGAAGCAATTATTATACAAGTGGCATAACTCAAATTTTTACCCAAATTTTATTTTGTCTTAAATTTTACTCAAAACTCGTTACAATTCAATTTTCACCCAATTGATCTAGAATTCTCCAAAAAAAACTTGATTTTTCACAAAAAAATAATTTCCCACACATCTCAAACTTTATATGAAAATTTTCTAAATTTTTGAGCTCTAATGCAACATGGGAATTAACATAGAAAGTGATGTCAGGAAAAATCGAGGTTTAATTTAATTAAATGACATTTGGTACCAAATTGAAGAGATTTAAAATGTGAGTCTCATTTTGCAGGGACTTAAACGTGACGTGGACAAAGTTAGAAGACCAGAGTGACAGGTGGGTGAAAAAAGGGGGTTCGAACACCAAACGACGTCGTTTTAAAGTCCAAAAGAAAAATTGTAGGAGGGGCGACAGGGTTCAGTCGAACCCTACCGTCGACTCCGGCAAAAATCCCAGATCCCCTCCCTCTCCGCCGTTTCATTCCTTCCAGCAACCATGATGGCCCCACCAACCGCCTTGCAATAATCATTCTCCTCTGCTTTTTCTGTCTGCCGGCATCAGCAGCTCTGCTTTGGCAGGAGAGAGTCCACCCTTTTGCAATCTACAGTATAGATGAAAAGAGAAGGAGATCGGAAGGCTAGGGGAAGATTTAGGGTTTTTCTTTGTTTTTCTTTGTGGGTTACATATAGAGGTTTAGAAAGCAGAGAGGGAGGATTCTTTTTGGGTATTTTCGGGTGGATTTTTCGGACTTCTAAGGGTTTTCGAGAGCATTGAAGGGCAGTAACAGAGAGTTTCCGGCGTGATCCCGACATCTTTTCAGGCTCCCCTAGCTAGGTAACCCCTAGATCCGAACACATAAGGACTCCTTCGGCATTTTTGCCTGTTTATTTTTTGTATAGATCTATGAATTTGAGGTATGTGGTTGATTTTTGTTGTTGAATGTGCTGAGGATTGAGAAACGTTGAATCTACATGTTAAGTTTTGTGTTATTTCAGTATATTTAGGTTGTAGTGATTGTTTGCCATTTTTCTGGATTTTTAAAATTTTTTTTAGCTTGCCGGTAACTGGATTTTGGCCGGAATCTAGCAGGATTCCGGCTGGTTCATTGGGTTCTGCAATTTTCTTAACCGAGACTTGTTTCCTGATGGTAAAAGATGATATCTGTCTTCTGGATTCTGCACTTTTTATTAAGTTTTTGGGCTGCCACAATCTGGAAAATTGGCCGGAATGTTGCTGGGCTCCTGTTTGATGCCATCTGCCACTCTTCCTCCTGTTTGATGCGTTTCGACCCTATTCTGCACCCGGATCATGTTATCGGGCCAACTTGACCCGGTTGGGTTGACTTGGACTCAACACTGTTTTTTTTT